GGAGAAAAAGTAGTGGACAACCTGCAACAGCTCATCAGAGAGGTAACGGTCTGTCAGCAGTTTTACTTTGAAGTACATTTATTGGTACTTCACTGTCATGATGTAAATGTAGAGGAGAAATATTCCCAAATACATCTAATGAGAAAACTTCCATTTGTTCATCTTTCACATTGTTGTTACTTTTTTCATTTGTGGCGAAAAATTGTAATATTATAATAAATTTCGTCATAGTTTTTGTTTCCTGTTGTTTAGATCTGTGTCTTGTTTTTTTTGTTGATAAAACTAACACTGCATTTACATTGTTGGTCGTACACAAGCACAGTGTTAGGATGACGCAGCAAAATGCTTTCTTATTACTGTTGGTGTTGGTTGTTTCTTGGTTTATTTTTAAAGAACTCAAACCCACGTTGTCACACGGGTGTTAAATTGTTTTCTGCCTTTAGACCAGAAAAAAGTGATAAGACGTTGCTTTATCTAAAACACAAACTTGAGCATTTTGCACAATGCAGCTGTACGCTTATTTATAGCTAGATGAGAGGATTGCTCTCATTTGATAACTCTCATGTCTGTTGTTTTCAAGATTCGAGAGAGCGTGGCACAGGAGGTCCGACGGGAAATCTACAGTGAGCTGCTGGCTACAGTTTCGCCACGGCGATCGCCCGTGCCCGCCAGGCAACACCCTCTGTAGTCATGGCACCAGCAAAGCACCACCCCTTTCACCTCCAGCCTTAGAAACCACAGCCTGAGCAGCAACACTGTCCGTCTGCAACACTGTATAGCTGTGTAACACTGTATGTCTGCGACACTGATGATGAAACGAGCACATCACCTACCTGGGATATACCCCGCCCACTCCACCTGTGGCTGTTAACGAGCATGCTCGTTAGTGAGAGGTGGAGAGTGGGGCAGATGGAATGAGGACGTTTACGTGTCCGGTTGGTTCTAGCGTGCCAGTTGTGATGCAACCCGGGAGCGCCACTCTGGACCAGCCCGACCCTGTGAACCATCAACGATGATGTGTTGTCTTTTCCTCACATCCTGTTTCCTTTTTCTAGACTGTTTTGATCAAAGCCAGACCTAAAACTACTACCACTGCCACTAATACTGCTAGTACTACATCTGGTACTGCTAACAGTACTCTACCAGTACTATCACTACTAGTCCCAGTCCTATAGATGCTCCCATTGAGTTCTTTTACCCCTGATCCCTGTCTGAGATCAGATCAGGACATATTGTTTTGCCTGAATTGAGCTTTTAACATGTTACGTTGCAACACACATGGGGCCAGCCTCCTTAAATGTAGTGTAAATGCCTTAATAATATTTTAATTGATGCTCTCGTGCTTCTCATTAAACGGTTACATTCCTTAATCTTCAATAAGAGTAGAGTCTAATGAGGGTCAAACTGAGCTTTTAACCCCGTTGAGTTACTCCTTCCATGCACATTTCAACTTTCAAAAAGGGCTTTAAGCGATACAATTAAGGGATTATTATCCTCCATCTGTCAACATTCCATCATCATCATCATCATCATCATCATCATCATCATCAGCATTGTAATCATTGTGCTTCTGTTTCTCTCACCGCCCTTAAATTTCTGTATTTTCACTGATGTGACGTTGCCCCCTGCTGGTCAGTCCACCAGACAATGGCATCACGGATGAAAGTCAGACTCCATGTAAACTTATTTAGGTCACAGTTACTGACAAACATTTTAAAATGAGGTTTTAAAGCTGAAAGCTTCGCCACACCAGAGGTTAATTGCCGCAGTTGTTTTAGCTGATGAACAGAGGTCACCAAAAGTAAATTTAGTACTTAAAGAATCAGAGCTGGAACTGCCACAGCAAAGATATCATATCAGAAACCCTGGGTGAGATGTACTGCAAGCAGGTCACTGCACCCAGCAGTTGTTGGTCAACAAATTGCTCCAACACTGACTGCTGCTGAAACCAAAATTTCTACATTTACATGTGTACAACTGTGTGTGTGAGTGATTTGAAGGTGTTAGAAGGTGGATTGTTTTCTGTTTTGATTGAGCCTGGCTAGCAGTTTCCCCCTGATTTCAGTCTTTGTGCTAAGCTAGGCTAAACACGTCCTTCCCTTTGACACCCACAGTCTTTGCTTTGTGCGTGTGCTGGTTGTTAGAGAACAGGTGATGAGGTCAGTGTGTGATGTCGTGAGGTACTGTGAAGGTCAGGCAGGTTATTCTGCAGAAGTAGCAGGTTTCGGTAAGTTCTCATGGTGATGGCGGTGATGATGATGATCATGATGGTCATGATGATGATGATGCTATTGATGACGATGATGTGAGGTCCGGTCAGTGGGAGGAGCTTAGTGAGCAGAACGTGTCTCAGTGAGCGGGCAGTGGAGCCCAAACAGTAGCTGTGTTAGCATGTTGGCCGCATTAGCCTGTTAGCTTCACACTGTCTGATGTGCAATAATAGGAACAAGTATATTGATTACTGAGATTATTGTGAACAAATTATCGGTAAATCACTGCAAACATTTCAGAAGAGACCAGTCCTCTTGCACCACTAAAACAAAAACTTTCTACCTGCACATCCTACACAAATTAATCTGCAGCTGGTTTTATTGAGAGAATTTCTGATCACACGGAATCCACTGATTGATCACTGAATGATTAACTATTAATTATCTGGAATATCTGTATTCTTTAGCATGTGTGTAGTGTCTGTGTGGTTGCTCACAGGTTTCCGAATATACAGTCAGTTAGTGAAAAGGTGAAACAAGCACGCTGCGTCCACCGTAGCTGAATGTGATTGGCTGGGATATCAGTCAGTCAAGACAATACCTCTTTTTGATCTTCATGGAACAATGATTCTGAAAATGTCCACACAGACTCAGATTAGAATTAAAATTACCCACAGAGAGCTGAACTTTTGGGAGAAAAATGTATTAATAATGTGTTTTTCAGATGTTTCATTCTTGATCTTCGGTTGTTTGGTGAATCTAAGCTCAAAGGTTCACTTATTAGTGATTCTGAGCTTTCAAGCCACACCTCACAGTGTTTGTTCAGCTGGCTGAGGTGCCATCACGTGAACTAAATGTGAACTTTTAATCACGTGAATGCTCTTAATCATTATTAACTGGACCTTTGATGGATTTTCTTCACCATTTGTTGACTTTTTACCATGTTCACTGATCACAAACTCTGCTCTGCTGGACCAACACTGTGATCTCCGAGGCTCTACATGCTTTTTTATTAGTTGTTTTTTTTTATTGACCAAGAATCCTTCACACACTTCTAAATACACTTCACTGTTTGACTGTTGGTGTCTGTTAATTTCTGTTGATGTCTATTAATGATGATGTGTATTTTGTATTGATGTCTTGTCGGTGGGATGCAGGGGTGAGGGATCACTCTATAGAGATGAGAATAATTAAAATGTATTTATTTTCAGTACTGGTTGAGTGCTGGCTCCTTTCTTTGTGTGTGTGGGGGTGGGTGTGTTATTTCTAGTCTTAAACCTATTAGGGTTGGATTTCAAGAATTGGGTCAAAGTTGGAACATTACCAAATTTCCAAGAACCTTGGATTCTTTAAAACACATGCATTTCAATTCTGCTTATAAGATCTTAAATTTTTGCATATTCCAGTCTCTCTCCAGATTAAACTGCACTGAGCATTTTATAGTCCATGAAAGTTGCACTTATCTGCCAGGACCTGCTACACAGACCTACAAGCATGCAACTAGAGAGTACTTCTGTTGACATTCCTGGACCATGGTGGGTCGAAGCAAATGCTCAAAAGTTTGGCTTTGCTTCACTAAAATTAAATAACAGCACAATGCAACACCTGCAGTAAGGACATTTTGTGCAACGGAAGAAGCAGCTCCAATATGACTGAATTCCCAGAAACAGCTAATGCTAACACTAGCAACGTCTCACACTCAGGTACAAAACACAGACGAGCTGACATTCACCTGTTTATGTTGAAAGTAAACGAATGACATCCACAAATTATTCTAATATATAAGATGACCCAGAGACACCCATCTAGTACAGAAACTCCTTTCACTTCAGCCATGAAGGGGAAAATGTCACTGAGCGGTGGCAATATTTGAGGTGAAGGGGTTGGAATTCAAACCGAGATTCATTAAGTGGAATAGTAATCGACAGAATTTAAACGATACTCAACCCTACTTAAACCTACACACTATACGCTACCTGCACACGTTATATTGTACCAATGGAAAGCAATTTCTACTTGAGTGTATTATAAGTCTACTCCTAAATGTTTTAGGAATATTGCACTTACTACTCCACTACGTTTATCTGGCAGTCATAGGTTCTAGCTACTAGCTTTGTAGGTTTTACAAACAAAAACAATAATGAGCTTATGATGTAAAGCATTGTTATAGAATGAACTACACTTTGTCTGACAAACTCCCTTTTCTACTTTGTCAGCATTTGGTTATCGACACAATCGACAGAAATTGTTACAGTATTTCAAATGTTTAAACTGCAAAGTGTAAGCAACAAGCATGAATACAGTTTCTTCAGAAATGTTTGCCTCTTCTATTTTGGTTATAATGAAACAGTTTATACTTTTTTCCTCCATCATAACTGTTCACTTTCCTATCCTCACAAACAAGGTTGTCACCACCAGTGTTGGGAAGTTTACTTTGGAAATTTAACAATTTACCCTATTTAAGATGTAATATTAGTGTAACTATTTCAATAACTTTATCAAAGTAATGTAACTTATTACATTTAATTACTTTTTTGATTACTTTTCTAAATTTCTAATGAATATTATTAACTGTTGACCATTTTCAAGAGACAGCTTAGGAAATATAACTTTTTATTATTTTTTTATTTGCACATATAAATACTGTATATATATTTTTAGATATTTTATATTTATATAGGTTGACGTTTATGTGTATTGTTGCGCACCTAGTTACCAAAACAAATTCCTTCCTTACTGCTCACCACCAGGGTGCGCTCCCTTCAGCCCGTCAAGACTTTTATTATGAAATCCGGAAGCTGTCCCTGACCCGGACGTGTTTTTGTTTATTGTAGGAAGTTTTCCGCCAGAAGAACGACACTGATTTAGGGAAGATAAGTCGGGAAACAGAACGGTAAGAGGATGTTGTACAGCCAAAGAAAATAAAGTTAAAAAGACAGAGTTTACCTGCAGAGACGGAGAAGGAAAAATCTGGAGGTTTTAGCAAACAACTAGCAGCTAAGCTAACTAGCTGGAGCTGAGGCAGGATTAGCAGCTAACTTTAGCTCATCCAAACACACATGGCGATAAAACTGAGACGTTCGTGTGAGGATTATTTAGTAACCTTAAATGTACTCCTTTGGAGTTATTTATTTATCTTAGTTATATCAGGTCGAAAAAAAGTTCACTTAACTTCGTGTTTCCTGTTCGTCAGCAAATGTAACTTAACGTTACAGGTAAATCTAAACTCCTAAAAGTGACAATGAAGTTTTACCTGAAACTCTCCAGACACTTCTCTTCAAAAGGTCAGTTAACCCACATGACAAAACGGCAGCTGCGTAGGTAACGCTAAGGTAACTTTTACCTGCTCTGCAATATCATTGGGACAGCACAGAAAAATTGCATTTGCAAAAACTTACCAACTTACCACAGTACCAATGTGTGTTGTTACAAGAGCTGAAACGATTTTTGGTTAATTGGTAAATTGAAAGACAGAAAATACACAGTCAACTATTCTGATCTGTCATTTAATTTATTGACTAAAAGCAAATATTTTATGATCCCTTCACCTTGCTTTTCATGTTGTTCATTATATGTACATAAATGCTGTATATACATCTGGGTTTTGAACTATTGGTGTGTCATTGTTGAGTTTTAGGAAACTGTGACGGGTATTTCCCACTTTTATGGGGTGGCTGTGGCTCAGGAGTTAGAGCGGTTTGCCTGTTAATCCCCGGCTTCTCCAGGTTTCATGTTGAAGTGTCCTTGGGCAAGATGCTGAACCCGAATTACCCCTGGTGGCTGTTCCACCAGTGCATGAATGTGTGTGAATGTGATGTAATGTAAAAGCGCTTTGAGTGGTCACAAAGACTAGAAAAGCGCTATACAAATACGGAGTATTTACATTTACGCTGCTTTGCAATGTTATATAGACCAAGTGATTAATCGAGAACATAATCTGTAGATTCATAACTGACTTGGGTTGATTTGATTGATCTTCAAAGCTGGCTTAAAGTTTGTGTGGTTTAACCTTTTTATATACAGTCTATGGGTTTAACACATGTGTAACCCAAAGAGAAGCTATTCACTGCCAGCTGAATCATAACCAAGACATTACAAAGATCTTTTTGAAGTAACATTTTCCCTGCTGTCGGAAATACTCATTAGAGCACCACATGAGTATTAATCCACTGTTGGTCCCAAAAAAGATTTCCCCCTGTTTGAGTAACTTTTAATTCATTAAAAAGTACAGTGGCCAGCTGCTTAAAATGGAACTATATATTTGTGAGCCATTTTTTAAAGATTTATGTCTTCAGGAGGAACCAGTGGGTTTGGGGATGAGAGCCACAGATATTTAAGGGAAGTCAGAAAGTGTTGAGAGACGGACTAATTGTTGGTTCGGGTCTTTTCATGAGATTAGAAGACAATATGCCAGTGTAATTATGCTGTATAAATAGGGTTCATTCTGCTATTCTTTATGTATGCGTTGATCTGTGATGGCTCTTGGAATACATTTTAATTTTAATAAAAAAATGTGTGTTTTTCAGGGATGGACCCTCCAGGCAGAAGTCGAAGTCCCAGTCCTGCGCAGAGAGAACACAGTGGTGAGTAAAACCTGCTGTTTTTTAAGTAACATTACTAGAAGTTGTAGCTGTTTTGTTATTCATCTGATAATGATGCGCGCTCTCTCTCTGTCTTTCTGTCTCTCTGTCTTCAGGACCTTCAGATGACGAGTCCAGTCCAGCAGATAAAAGGCCCCAACAGTCCGGCACAGTTGAGAAAAGCCCCAAAGAGAGGCCGTCCCCTCGGGCCAGTCCTGCAGGCCGCACCTCCTCCAGGAGTCCTGCCTCCAGCAGCTCAGACAGCAGCAGCAGCAGCAGTGATGATGAGGATGAACATAACGGGGCACTGAGGAAGATTAGGAGTAGCGTGGCTCAGATCAAAGTAAGCAGTGACTAATATGGATACTGGCATCTGATGTGCTTACATGCACTGATTACAGTTGATTTCGTGTTGTTAAGGGCCATGTAAACAAGAACAGCCAGACAAACTAAAGCTAAAAGTTAACCTTCCCTCCTTTCGCTATGAGGCAATTTTTTCCCATTAAGTTTCCCTTGGCACTCTTATAAACTAAAATACAACCAGGCTTCAGACAAGCTGAAAAGTCTCTGCAGGGCTGTCCTTCGCTGTTTAGTTATTGACCAAAACAAACCCATGTTGTATGCTGTGCATGCGTGCCTGCTTCTGGGAGACTGTCAATAACTTTGGTTAGTGCTGGAGAGTATTGACCATGAGTTTTTCAAAGCGTGGTAATCGAACATGGTTATCATGATGATAATAAAATGTGTACGGTAATAATAACCATCGGGAATTTTTTACCATGGTTTATCATTAAACCGTGCACCGTTTCATCCATATGTTGTTGGGTCGACTGCCACGGCTTGATGTCTCGTAGCCAAAGGTAACATCTCTTCAAAAACACAAACTGAGAGCTCAGATCAGTGTGTGGGTCCCTTTTTCAGTCTGTCTGTGAGTTGGTTGGTCTGCAGTGTTAGTTTCCATGGCAACAGAGCAGAGTTTGGCATCAAGACATGTTAGTGAGATGGAGTATTCAGGGTTACATTTAGCCGGCCTGATCATGAAACAGTGGTGAGCAGCATCTCCACTGAGTAAAGAAGCAGCTTGTTGATTGACAAGAAGAGAAGTGTGTCCATTACTGTCATCTTAGACACGAACTCCCCGGGTACCTCCAGGCTTTCAATGACCCAGACTCACTCTAAGTTGAGCCGGAGCTGCCGTGTTGTCCCTCTCATTGAGCTAAACTCACACTTTTAAAAACAGCAGCTTGTTTTTCTGTTGGTCCGGTGTTCTCTGAGGAGTTTCCCCAGGCCATCCTGAATTCAGGGACGATCCATACCATTTTAACATATGAACACTGCTGACACTCTGGATTTATTTGCTGTCCAGAGATCAAGGTCCAAGTCAAGGTCCAGAGAGCGAGACGGATCCAGATCCAGATCCAGCGGACGAGACGGATCCAGATCAAGATCAAGATCCAGGGGACGAGACGGATCCAGATCAAGATCAAGATCCAGAGGACGAGACCGGTCTAGGTCTAGAGGACGAGACAGATCCAGGTCCAGAGAGAGAGACCGGGACCACTATGACAGAGGACGGTATACTAGGTAACAGACAGAGCCACACAGCTTTTGATTAGCTTGTAAGAATGTGTAATTAATATTATTTGTAAATAATAAGTATTGAAAATTAAGTGATCAGTATGTTAAAGGGCTCGTGGATGTGAAACTAGGTCATAAGACTAAAGTTTTTCAGTTTTTTCTGTCATATCCCTAAAACACACAACAACACATAATAAGCAGTCAGGTGAAGCAAAACAAAAAAATTACCTTGATATAAAACAAAGTGTTATGTAGGGCAGGGCGATATGACCAAAAAGTTTATCCCAATAAAAGAATGTCATGTCATTAAATATTGATAATTATTACAATGAAATGTCAAATCATTATTTCTTTCAAGTTTAAAGGCTGATTTTTGCTCCTGAGTGAAAGTTCAAGAAACCAGACAAACTTACTAAACTTTTCTTGTACTTTTCTTTATGGTCAGAACAAACACTTGACAGCAAACAGTGGATCACATAACAAATTTGATGTAGAACATTCAAAACAATTATGATGAATTAAATTTAAATCAACATTTATTGAACATTTCTTACATTTTTATTGAGGAAATTATATTGTGATAATTATCTGTATTGTTTTATATCCCAGACCCAATGTCTTGTATAAAATTGAAGCGTTCTCTATATGTCATATTTCCATTTCATTAAATAAAACAGTTTTACACCTGTTTATAAAAACGAGTTCTTCCCGCGAAACAGTGCCTCTTTAATGGCGGCATCATGCTGTATTAGTAAACATAAACATACTCCAGCTATTAAAATCATCAGACTTTTTAAAGCAACACCAGACCGGTTCAGACCTGAAAGGTGCTCAGAAAAAAACAGGCTAATTGGGTAACAGCAGTTACATCACAAAATTACAAAAAAAAAAGCTTTAAAATGTAATTTTTCTTTTGTCTCTTCCTGTCTGCTCTGCCCAGGGATCGCTATGATGATCGCCGTGATGACAGGGGCGGGCGCTTTGATCGATGGACCAATCGGGATGCAGAACCAGATCACAGGAGGCGAGGCCGCTCAGCCTCGCCTCCAACAGACAGAGAGCCTGTGGCAGACGACCAGCCGCCTGTCAAGAAGAAGAAGGAGGAGCTCGACCCGATCCTCACGAGGACCGGCGGGGCTTACATCCCCCCAGCCAAGCTACGCATGATGCAGCAGCAAATCACTGACAAGAGCAGGTAAGAGTATTGTTAATTATTTTATAGGTGTTAGGTTTAGACAACACTTAAAACTTTTAGTTTTATTTGTTTTTACCACAACTCCTCATCTGCGATGCATTCAAGGATGCTCTCACATCTAAGATTTGAGCGGTGAGCTCCTTTTAGCAAATAAGACCTAGACGACTTAAAAACAGTAAATAAGGAGTGTATATGGTCAAGCTCAGCGGCAGATTTTTCTTTAAAAATCTTAGTGGCTTACCAACACTTGAACGCATCATCAATGGCATAAAGCACAACAACTATTTCATCTTGAGCAGCAGTTTTGAGCAGGTTGTGACTCCAGACCCACGATGTGTTACTGAAATCTCAACTGTTTAAACGACTCTGTGTAATCTGTGTATGTGTTGTTGTTGTTGATGCCCCACCCCCTGTGCAGCCTGGCCTATCAGAGGATGAGCTGGGAAGCTCTGAAGAAGTCCATCAATGGTCTGATCAACAAAGTAAACGTGTCGAACATCGTCATGATCATCCAAGAGCTGCTGCAGGAGAACATCGTCAGGGGGAGGTGAACAATGAAACAGCACCAACAACATGAATCACATTAATCCTCTGTATTCAAATATATGCTTCTTTAACAGTAAAATTATTTTATTTACAAAATATTTTTTGGCAGCTAATCATATCACAAACACATGAGGGTTTAGTGTTAGAAGTTTGTGACACTGTTTGTGAAACTGGATCGTCATTCATAAGATGTAATGAAACTTACAGATTCAAGTGAACCCATATAGTGAAATAAAGGGCTATCAGGCACTTTTTGACACCTATAAACTAATTACATTTTTTTAAAGTCTGGAGGTTATTTGCTGTCTGACTTACTGTCTCCCTGACTTCCTCCCTAACTCTGTACTTGTATATCTGTCAGAGGTCTGCTGGCTCGCTCGGTGCTGCAGGCTCAGGCGGCATCGCCAATATTTACTCATGTTTACGCCGCCGTTGTCGCCATCATCAACTCCAAGTTCCCTCAGATTGGAGAGCTGATCCTCAAACGCCTCATCCTAACCTTCAGGAAGAGCTACCGCCGCAATCTCAAGGTACCCATCTATAGCTGTTAAGTGGATATGCATGCAGTGTGACTAAAACATGTGACTGATAGGGGTGGGTGGCGAAAAAAATGTAAATGCTTAAACCACTCTGGTTGTGTGAAGAAAATAACTGTAGCAAGTAATTTTATAAAGCCCTGTGCCCAGACAGCGTTTTGGTTGGCGATTTTAGCTAATCATAAAGACGATGATTAAAATGTAGAAAAAAATTGAAATTAATTCTACACCATCTCACCTGTTTTAAACAGTCATGCAGTTACAAATTCATCCTTGTGTGACAGATCTGCTTGCCAGTCACAAGCTCCATGCTCCTCCTGTTATTGTCCTACTCACCAATCAGAGCGGGCACAGGGCATGTACATTTTACAACATTTACTCATTTGACGCTTTTTTTCCAAAGCGACTTGCATACAACTGACAATACATACTAGTAAGAGCAGCAATAAATACTAGTAAGAGCTAATAGCACATATCATATCAATGGGGTAAATACCTAGGGAAAGACGTGAGTTAAGAAAAAAAGTGCAATCAATACAAGATAATTGGAGGGGATAGAAGAAGAGCACAGGAAGTGCAAGTTAGAGGTTAGGAGTTGTGCGGCATTCTGACCAACTGCGAATTTTCACCTCGCGACGCTTTACTCGCGTGAGTACATTCGTTGCAAGTGTTCACACATAACGCGAGAAGGCAATTTTAACGTGAATAACCACAACTTGCAATTACTTCAACTGTATCAACCCAAAGTAAACATTTTGCTGTGATTAAATGTCAATAAACGGATTAAACTGATGCCGAAATAGCTACAATATTACATTTACATTTATTCATTTAGCTAACGCTTTTATCCAAAGCGACTTACAATTGCTATACATGTCAGAGGTCGCACGCCTCTGGAGCAACTACGGGTTAAGTGTCTTGCTCACAGTGGGGAGTTGAACCCGGGTCTCTCACACCAAAGGCATAGTCTTATCCATTGCGCCATCGCCATCGCCACCCCCCCCACAATATGATGCAGATTTGTTAAACATATGACTTCATTCTTTGTCAGGTCTGTCAGCAGGACAACAACTTCTAAAATGTTTGTTTTCTGAATAGAGTTTGGATCGATCAGGGCTATGCTAACTTGGTCACAGTAAAGTACAACGATAGCTAGAATAAAGTTACAGACATATGTTTCCTGGACTCACTCAGATAGCTTTGTGTGAAGTGATGGCAGAGCCAGGCGGCGTTCGTTGGAGGAGCTTAGTGGCCGAGAAGGAACGTCAACTTGTCTTATGGAGTTTAGGTAGATGGGTGCAGATCCAGTAGTCACTCTGTATGCAAGCATTAGTGACTTGAATCTGGTTCTGGAGGCCACGGGGAGCCAGTGGAGGTCACTGAGTAATGGAGTGACATGAGTCCTTTTGGGCTGGTCAAAAACAAGACCCACTGCTGCGTTCTGAACCATTTGTAGGGGTTTCACCACACAAGCTGGAAGACCTGCTAGGAGGGCATTGCAGTAGTCGAGGCGAGAGGTAACCATGGCCTGTAAGAAGCTGGGTGGCGTACTGAGTGAGGTAGGGCCTGATTTTTCTGATGTTGTATAGAGCAAAGCGGCACGACCGAGAGACGGCGGCAACATGGTCTAATAAGGACAGCTGGTAATCAATCATGACACCCAAATTTCTCACCACCCTGGTTGGAGTGATGGTTGAGGAGTCAATTTGTAGTTTGATGTTATGGTGGATAGATTGCTTGGCTGGAATGACCAAGAGTTCAGTCTTAGAGAGGTTAGTTGAACACTTCTAGAGGAAACATGTGGGACAATGGCACCAGGTGAACCGACACAGGCAGTGGCTGTGTGTTTCAGCAGCAAAGTGTTAAGCCTACACGTTGTTAACGTTACATATCCACATGGGGCATTTCAGAATAAGAGTGTTTTGCCCGTTTGATTATGCTGAGTTACTCAGATTTTGCTTATTTGTTCAGTTGTCCTTGATTTTTGTGCTTCTACTATGGTTAAGTAGGCTACGTAGTTAAATTGTTTTAATTGTGTTTATTGTTGATGTATGATTGGGAGTCTGCAAAGGGTGTTTTATTTGGAAAATTGGCTAGATTCTCTTTGCCATTCTTTGTCTGACTTTCTGCCTGAATCATCTGCTCTGTGCTGCTTGACGTGGCTTCCATCAAAAATAGACTGGCGTTGAATATTGAACTTTAGCAAAAAATTGCAATATCTGGCAGAAAAATTGCAACTCGATTCCCCCCCCCAAATCGATCTGCCCTACTTTACAGACAAAAGATGGTAAAATGCTTCCAAATGAGTGCAGTTAATATTTTGAAATAAAATTCTGATTACTCTTTGCTTGTTTCTCTGCTTGTTTGTTTGTCAGTCAGCATCCTTCATCAACACCATTTAGCTTGACTGCCAGTTATGTTTCATAATGCATTTCAACAGACATAAGGACATGAGTCACTTGAGTAAGAGCCCATAAACTGCCTCCCTTTCTGTTTATTCAATCAAGAATCCTTTCTGAATCTAACTGTGAGATAGGGTATGGCCGACAGACGATGCCGTGAGCCACACGTTGACTTATTAATGATGCAGCCTATCAAACAACTGAAACCAACATCTGCACCCTGTGTGTTCAATTCTGCTTTACCTGCTCCGTAGGTAAAATATCCACCGCAACTTGTAACGTAAGTTAATAGTCTACCAATTTTTTTTTTTTACCGAATGAAGGTTGTGCGAGAACACAAGTATGCACATAAGACGACTGCTGCCGACTTCGCGCGTGTGTGCCCGATGACATTGTCCATCCCAATGTCTCATTCAGACATCGTTCGATGGAAATTTTGTAGACATCGCCCAACCCTACTGTGAGATGCCCAAAGATTTCCACCACATGTGATTTTGAGGTGGAAATGTTCCAGCTTGAGCAGACTGAAGTGGTATGAGTCCAATGTACAGAGACAAGAAAGAAACTGGAGCTAAATAAGAGAATCAACTGGCAATCCTTGAAAGTTTTGTGTTTACCTAACTGCAGCTAATGTCTCTACTGTTTGCTTACAAGAAATTGACACTATCACACGATCAGTTTGTGTTCAGTCTGAACACACCTTAACCAGATTTAAAGCTGTAAAAAGTATTTTATATACATTGCTATTAAATTAGTATTATGTTTCAAATCATTTCAAATATTGGCTTTATTAGGCGTAGTATTAGTGATGTATTAAAGCCAAGTCTGTCTTTTGTTTTCCAGCAACAGTGCCTGACAGCCTCAAAGTTTGTGGCACATCTCATCAACCAGAACGTGGTAGGTCCTGCTGTGTGACTTTAATATTGATTGAGGGTTTCAGTGTTGGATTTTCAGCGCTAATGAAGTGTGTTTACTTCTCTGTCTCTCTTTCGCGCTTTCTCTTTGTCTGATCCAACGTGTCTCGCTCTAAGGCCCATGAGGTTTTGTGTCTGGAGATGCTCACTCTGCTGCTGGAGCGTCCAACTGACGACAGTGTGGAGGTCGCCATCTCCTTCCTGAAGGAGTGTGGACTCAAACTGACCGAAGTCTCTCCGCGAGGAATCAACGGTACACTGTAGCTTCAGCTAAACTCATTATCATCCTCATAGTTTGAGACGATGACAAGGAGCTCAAATCGATTAATCATTTAAGTCAGTCATCACAAGCTTAAAAAGCCAAGCATTCTTCAGTCCCAGCTGAGCTTTGCTGACCTTGAATGGTTTAACTTCTCACCTTGCTGTAGTACAGGTGTGCTTCAGGTGTGCTTAATCACTTTTGGGTATCACAGGTGCAATAAAAGCACAAGTCAGATGTGAAACAGGCATGAATGTTCCACCAGAGCGGGCAGCAAAATCCTGCTTTTCATTCTGGTTTTAAATTCATCTTTATGATGACCAAAATGAAATGTTTAAAATGGGGGAAAAAAAGGAACCCAAAAAAGTCAATTGGATGTTGAAATGACAAGTTGGTTTTGTGAAATGGCATTTTGAAAGTAGAGTCGCAACGATTAGTCAATTATTCGGTCGAAAGAAAATTAATCGACAAAGATTTGGATAATTGTTTCAGGCATTTTTTAAGCAAAAATGTGAAAATTTAGCTGGTTTCATCTTCCTTAATTGAGGAATTGCTGCTATTCTTTGCATTTATGATAGTAAATGAAAAGTCTTTGGGTTTTGGACTGTTGGTTGGACCAAAGAAACAATTCGTAGATGTCACTTTGGGCTCTGGAAAATTGTGATGAGCAGTTTTCAGAATTTCTTGACATTTTGTAGACGATTAATTGTGAAAATAGTCGGCAGATAAGTCGATAATGAAAATAATCGTTAGTTGCAGCCCTATTTGAAAATGAAAAATGTGATTAAAAATCCTGAAATGGAAAATACAAACAAATGCAAAATCTTGTTAGAGTGAATGCAAAAGGCAGGCAGCAAATAAAAAAAACAAGAAGATGGTGCATTCCTGTAGGCGAATGGTCACAGCCCATGCCACATGGTTTGATTCAGGCAGAGGGACGTTTTTGCATGTCATACCTCTGCCTCCCTGCTTGTTTCCTGTCAGCCTCTTCATTGTCAACTGTTCAACATGCCAAAAAAAGCTACCTTTTTATTTTAATAATTAATCTAGTCAGATGTTGTTATACATGTTTTCATTTTCGGTTAAGCTTTCACATTTAAGCTTTTCTGTTTTCCATTTCAGGTTTTTAACTTACACTTTTTGAAATTGTCATTTTACAATATCAGTTGGTCATTTTATAATCCAGTTACTTTTTGTACTTTTAACATTTAAATATGATGATCCTGAGTACAAAAATAATTTGTCTTTTTGTTTTTCATTCTAGGTCCTTCATAGTTAATGAAGTATTACAATTGCAATAATTGATATGTAATGTAATTCAATTTGTTTCTTTCTTTACAACAGCTAGTATTTTTCTCTAGGCCTTGCAATATTTCTGCAAGAAATACTCCCCAAAAAATATTTTAAAATTGACCAATCACTGTCCTTTTCTTATTAAATCTTGGGCACTAGTCGCCTGAATATTGGAAAATGAGGTTTCTGACCAAAAGGTTCCCGCTGAAAGTATTCTGGGTAAATAAAGTTTAAAAAATGTAATAACCAAGCTCTAAACTACCGCTAGGAGCCAGCTTTAACAAACCTGCGTCATTATAAAAACATTAACACCTGAGAGACACTTTCTTTCCCCTGAAATTAGCTTGTCAGGCTGAGGTTTTTCTCAGATGTATGTCAAGAATATTAATAGCCTGAAATGCTGAACTCAGACTGATCCCTTTAACTAAACAGTATTGCATTTGTAAGAGAACACAAAAATAGATCCCTAATTTCAGCACAATGCATCAGAAAAGTCTCTACAAATTATGCCTGTCACTCTTTTCAGCCATATTTGAGCGTCTCAGGAACGTCCTCCATGAGTCGGCCATCGATAAGAGGGTCCAGTACATGATCGAGGTAATGTTTGCCATCAGGAAGGACGGTTTCAAAGATCATCCGGTGATCCCAGAGGGTCTGGACCTGGTGGATGAGGAAGACCAGTTCACCCACATGCTGCCACTGGAGGACGAGTACAACACCGAGGATGTCCTCAGTAAGCCCCAGAGAGGGACGGGGGGACTCTGCCTCGCTCTAAACTCTCTGCAGAAATACGTATGCATGTATATGCAAGCCTAACGTACGTATGTGTGTTCACTC